CTGTGTTTGAGCTGCTGGTTCCAGCTTCAAAATGAGGGGTGTGTGCATTTAAACAAAGCACAGAAATCTCTGACTGCATATATATGGGGATAAGGGGCAGATAAACTCATATAAAGACAGGTGGGAACAGCTCACACCTTCCTCTTTTAAATCGCCTCTAAAGGCGATTTAGGTTTTGTGAATTGCCTGCATATTTGAGTGACGAAACATAAAGTTCTTTAGACTACTGAATGTTCAAAACTCGTTCTTTTGTCATAGCGAGGCTATATCAGTCCTTTCCTACTCCTCCTGCATTAGTGACCGATGTTCTCCCGCAGTCCTGCAGCTCTGCAGAGCTATTGCCCACACACAGGAGCAGGGCAGGAGGCTCTTGCTCTGCAGACGACCGAGACTCTCGTGATCTGCGGCAGCTCCAACACTCAACCCAGGAAGGGCTGTGACACAACTAATATTCACAAACTTCTCACAAAGTACCAGTAGATCTGTCTCTGTGGTGGTTGCTGGACAGTAAAAGGAGACAAGTGTAGCTCAAAACACATCTCTTTAGAAGAACAAAAAAGACGTGGAAATCTGTACCTTTTATCATAAGTCCTGTTAACAAAGTGAGCTCCTCTGCTGGCAGAGCGGCTGTTGCACAAGTTGAGAATCCTCCTGGTGTTCCCTGGTGTTTTCATAAATCACTGAGGATGATCAGTGGTCATCTCTCCTTTTTTACAAATTCCTGCCAGGAAAATTCTTACACATCTTGCTGCTTTAGGCTTAAGACACACAAACCCTCCTTTAGCTTACTAAATATTATTAAGCAGTAAATGTAAATAGATAAAGGGAGGGGAAGCATGGAAAATGAATCTCAGGTGCTTTTCCCTCCTGCATGTTTGACATTTGGAGAAGGCAGGAAGGTGCAGGAAAGGTTGAGTGTTTAATTCTCTGAACTGAGTGTTTCTACTGAAACAAGTAAGACACCCTTTAAACTTCACACACTGCCCCCAGGACTTTTTCTCTCAGCACTGAGTAGCAATAACCCTCTGCTACCCTAACCTTCCAAAGCACCCTGAGGATGAAGATCCTCCTGTAAATACAGGAAGACATCCCACTGGGAATCAGTAGAGACAAATGTCTTTTTAGTTCTTAATCTCATCTGCTGGCACAGAGGAAAATACTTCCCTTCAAACAGATTGGAATTCCTATTGGGAACACAGGTAAGGAAAATTATATCTAGTTTTGAACAGATTTGTGCAACTCTGTAAAAGATACAATGTAAACCTCTCTTGGTATCAGCTTATGGAGAGGAATTCTGATTTTACAATCTACTTCAGCAAATCAAATAGGAAGATACTTCAGCAAAAGGAAGTGGGACGTGCTCACTGGAGAAACCAGAACTGTGGCAGCCAAGGCCTCCTTCTTGCACAGATCCTGCCTTCTTTCCACTCTTTCATCCAACTTTTATTTGGTGCTTCAGTCTCTTTTCAGTTAAGCCACAGGAAGCCTCTCCACTTCAGGCTCTGAAGTTACGCCTATTTAAGAAGTAAAACAACACTGCCTTAAGCACAAAAATGCTTTGTGATTATAAAGCTTGCAATAAACCAAGATTTCTTCTTTTCAAAAGAAGACAGGATAATGTATTCAGGCATTTCTGAGTTTAGCACATGTCACAGAAATGTATTTACAGCTCTTTTTCCAAAAATCTTTATCAGATCTCAGACCTAGTCCAGAGAAAGGTGTATGAAATGGGATTAAAGCGTGGGCACCATAAAGTATTAAAATCTTCTTACTGTCTCATAAAATTCAACAGGTATTTTAACTTGGAAAGCATCCAGCAAAAAGTCCTCCACCTGCAATACATAAACGGCCCAAAGTCCTCTTTTTGGACAGACCAAAACTGCTACAGAAGCCTGTGAAGAAACAGAGAGGTACTGGGATTTGGAGTTTCTGAATTACACCGACAACAGGTGACTAAGATAACTTTACATGACTTTATTTAACAAAACCATATATTTACAGTTGAAAAAGTTCCAGTTTGATACACATGTCTAAACAAAACAAACGTGGTAACTACAGTAACCCAATTTAAACATGATGTGCAGGGGATGTATCGACAGTTCTCTAAGTGTCATTCTCCTTCTTAAAACATTCAAAAATAACCTGTTACAAGGTACCGTTTTTTCCCGAATGAAATTATTTACTAAGTGAAATAATGTTAATGATTGACTGCAGATTGAAGTTGCAAAACTGCTTTATTATAAAGTGCAGATTGTACAGAATCCCAAAGCTGGTTTAAGTTTTCTGGTTTCTCTAATCTGCTGCACCTACAGTGGTACTTCTGTGTATTGCAGCAGTTTTATCTTTCCTCAAACCCATGAAGAAAAGAAAGTTTGCCTGATGGGGACATTTGCTCAATGAAAGAAAATCTCATGCATCTTGTTACAGATACTCTCAAGCACCTGAACAATGAAATTGTCAAATTCTTTAATGCAGTTCCCTGAATTTCTTAAGGAAGATTTCTGTAATAGCTAATTAAGAGATTTGGTATGCTGCAAGAAACTTAAAAAGCTCACTGGCAAGTAATTCTATGCCCTTACTACTCATCTCTAGTTTTTATCAAAATTCAAGCGTTACCTTCAAATCAAGTTACTAAGAAGTTGAAACAATTGCATGTTTAGGCAGGTGATTATTTTTTCACATGTATTTTGTTTGAAAACAAACTGTGCAAAGCTCCTTATTGCATTGCTGTTTCTTCATTAAAGAACATACCTTATATACACAAAGAAATCATTTAGAAAATATATACAACTTCTAAGAACAGAAAGATCAAATCACAAAAACAAAATAATTACATTTGCAAGTAACAAACAGTGCACAAGTGTTGCAGCAGGCCTTTTTCCCCACAGCTGTGCCCACTGTCACTGTTACATTCAACATCTTATTGAGAAGAGAAAAAGAACAGGCTGTCAATGGCTGCCAACACACCTAAGTAGCTAAAAAATGCGTTTTTAACCAGACAAATGAGCCACACTTGTAGACTTGTTTCAAAAGGAAATACAAATGTGGTTGCAATGAAGACTGAAATCGCAAAGCCAGTTACAGTACCACCTACAAATGTATATACTGAGGAAAAAGTTCTCTCCGTGTTTAACAAACCGTTTAAAAGCATAGTGCAAATGTTTTTTGGATGGTAGGCCTCTCGTATCCTTCGTGGAAAGGCATATTTGTTGTAGCAATAGAAAAAAGTAATATTAAAAAACACTTACTGACCTTCCTGCTTTCTACTGCACTTCAAAGCCATGTAGCATACAAGTACCAGTCACTGGAGGACCTAAGCTGTACAAATTCTGGGAGAATTAACACATTTCCTATCAACATCTTAATGTCTATTTTCAGTAAGTGATGACCTAGAAGAAGTCTTGTGGAGCAATTAAGATGACCAACAAAAAATCCACATCCATTACACCAGGTACACAAATTGAACAGGAAAAGAGGTCAATGAGGTATCAGGCTTGCAGGCTGCATTTGCATTACACATCTTTCAAAGTGATTATGAGTCCTCACTTACCAGGGAATCTTGTTCTCACTTTTCTTAATATTACAATCAAATTATCCCTCACAGAAACGCTGTCTTCACCAGAAGACATTTCCTTAATTATGCCCCACAGTACTCTACATTAAATGGGGAGTTGAGCAGTGTACAACTATTCTTCTCATTGTTTCATTCAGACTATAATCAGCATAAACCAGACTGAAGAGCATTGGGAAACCGCTGACCACACATCTGGAGGGTTTAGCAACCACTGTTTACAGTTAACACAAATATTGCTTTAGTTAAGTTTCCCTTTTCAACGATCGTGATTATAAAATAGATTTTATACTACACACTACGCAATAAACATTCTTGTGGAGCAGAGGCACTCGTGATTTGCCCTTCAATGTTCATCTGGAGGCAGAGGGGATGTGAGATGTGTTAGGGGTTTATGTAACCGCGGTTTGCTGTTGGTTAATTTGCTCTCCTGTATTAGAGGCCAGATAAAAGGCTCGGAATGACAGCTTGTACTTATCCTGATGGTGTTTGTCTGGCACATTTCCAAAAAAACTTCTTTCACTTGTCACTGTATCATCAGCTCCACATTACACTTTCCCTCTGGAGCAGCAGCAGCAGGTCCAGGAGATCCCACAGAACCTTTTCTTTCCAGCAGCAGCATTGTAGAACCTGACTGCTCTCCTAACCCTTCCTCCTCAGCTTTGCCAGGGAGCAAAGCTGGGTTTAAAGTAACAGGAGTTTCTGGTTTAAAGTAACTATCAAAATTGCTTTTAACCATTTCTCGGTTTATCTGCTCAGCCCCCAGTTTTACCAGCATGACTGGAGACACAAAAACACGTCTTTAGCCAGAGGAAAGAGAGTACAACTGGGAAATGATGCCAGCTTAGCATTAGAACCCTCTGGGTGAGCTTAGAATAGTCTGATTAATGGAATTTCCTCCATATGCATCCAGATTCGAAACAAATTTCCAAGGCATCTTGAAGAATAATTGGTTTTGCACTGCTAGTGTGACTTCTCTTTCAAGGTTACTTTCTCTCAACTTTTTCTTATTAAAGAAAGGAATGTAGTTCTACATCTACATGATTTCTTTGGTAAGAGGGACCCACAGCCTATAAAATAGAAGCATTTCTAAAGAAATGGTCCTCACATCATTTAACTATAAATTCCAGCACCAGTTATTCAGATCCAGGGACTTTTATAGGTATTGGAAATATATCCTGCCTAAGAATGAAACAGAGGAATAGCTTTCAAAGCAACCAACACTGCAGAATGTCCAGTCTTTTAAAACATCAAAGGAAAGAGACTCAGAAAAAGCCAAAGCCTTGATATTGTTTCACTGCTCTCATCAGAAGTACAGAATGTTGTAATGCTCTCCACAGCATATGCTCATACCACTAAAAGTTTAAGGCTAAACCTAGGTTTAATTTATAAGGGGTTTACCCCCTGATTTCCTTTCTTTTTTTTTTTTTTTTCCTCTTCCTCCTCCTTATTTTCTTCTTTCCCCTTTAAGGCTATCCTACTACTAAAGAAATCTCAGAAATAACACTTTGATTTGCAGGCTCATACATGTCAAACAGTACTCGACAGTTTTGCCACTTTAACTCTTTTCCTTTGAGTCACAGGAGGCAAACCCAACATTAACGTTTGAGTGAAGGGCTTCCTTTTTCCATTTCCCGGTTATCCTTCTGCAGAGCAGCCAGGATCTAGACATTTCAAGGAATGAGAGAGAAGAAAAAGATTTGATTTAAAAAATGACTCAATAATACATTGTCTGAAGAGTTTCCAATTTATGTCTGAGCAATACTGTTTTAAGTATTAAATGTAATCAAATTTACAGAACCTGTCCACTGACAGAGACCTCTCCCATAAGCCCTTGGATAGAGATGGATTTAACGAAGGTTTAAGGTCCACCTCCCCCCAACAGACACTTTTGAAGCCTGTTATTTGGGGTACATGGCAGAACAGGACCACTGTCTCTCCTTCCCTGCAAAGGAAGCAGCAGTAGGTTGAGAATTTACTTGGAATGCAATCCTCACACACACACGACAGACGTTGCAGGAAGGTGAGTGAGGTCAACTGAGTGAGGAATGAGACTGGGAGGATACTTGCAGGGACTGGCTGAAAGAAGTTCTTGAGCAAAGAAACAAAGCTGGATCTGTGCTGATGACCCAGGGCCAAGGGCAGAGGTGAAATGCCAGCTCCTCTGAGAGGAAGGGGGTGTCAGGGAGGACACGCTGTCCCTGTGCCGCTCTCGGTGAGCACTGCAGGCTCTGCTCCCTCTCACACACCACATAGGGCTCAGAGGGCTACGGGCTACTCCTGCTGGGAAGGTGAGAAATCCTCACCTCAAAGAGCAAGCTGGCAATCCCCAGCACCCACAGGCAGATCTCTACCCCAGGAAAGGACCATAAACACCCAGTTGCAGCCCAACTACCACATTTAACATCACCTTTCAGTTTCACTGCAAAAGATAACTGGGTAGAACAAGCAGAGCTCTGTTACAGAACCACTGGTGAAGTGGGCTGTATGACTGCTTTGAACAAAGAAAAAACAAAAATAAAAAAGGGGGGTTCCACTCTCCAGCACGAATGGCTGTTAAAGCCACTTAAGCATTTTCACATTCAGATGACACATCCTTTTTCTTTAAGCTGGAATTTAGCTGAAATTACAGTGATGAGAGCATTTCTGAAATCACATGCCAAATTCCAATAAAGAAGCCAGAGATGCAATCACTTTTGTACAGCCCTAAATCATGCAGAAGAGATCCTGAAGAAAATTAAGATGACAACTGCATGATAAAGTGTCCCAACAAATTGCCATCATCTCCCAAAGTGTGAATTTCTGCTTATAAATATCAAGTTGTAATGTTGCCAGCAGCTTTTGTAATTGATAAATTTTAAAAGCTGTGTGACAGTTCGTCAATTTCACTCAACATTTCAATTTTCAATGTCGACTGAGCTTTCCCTTTCCAGAGGAGAGTAAGCTCAGGGAACCCACTCACCTCAACCGATGCTAAAAGCATGGAGTGAGCTACACAGTCCCACCTACCTCTAAAATCAAACACTAGCTCTGCTAAAACATTCTTCCAGATGTTGTCAAACCCCATCTTCATGAGTACAGTACAATCATCAGTTATCAAATATTGACATCCTCTTTACCTGAGCCCATTTTTTGTTTCTACTTTGCATCTGAATGGCAGCAATAGACGTGAAGAATTCTTCTGAAGGCAAGTCCTCAGGTAGCTTTGTTAAAAACTGGGCTATATGAATGAAGTCCATTTTAGTCAAAATATCTTCAAAAAGTTTTAATATTCCCAGCGCTGTACGGAATAAGAACTCTTCTCCATCACGGCAGAACACATCCCAGACACGACATGCCAAGTCTAGTGGCAAAGATTTGCTGTACAATGTGAATATCCTGAAAAATGGAACAAAATTTTCAGAGTTACTGGACAAGAAAAACATCTTGGGTAGTCACAGAAGGACATAGGCTGACCAGAAGTTTGAGGTTTCTCAATTATTTATATCTGAATATTCCTTTTTGTTTTTCAGGAGTACTTCTGTTAGTTGCAGCATACCAATCCACAAAACAATATCAAATTGTACAATCAGTAAGGCATCTTGCTATCAGCCTGGGTCTCAGAGTTTGATTTTCTTGGATCGCACCAAGGACACAATATATTGTGGTTTTATGATGGGCACCCACTGATCACAGGTATAATCAGAGGCCAATCTTCAATCATCACTTCAGAGTTGAGGATTGATGCAGTTTCAGCTGTGAAAATGCAAAAAGCTGAACCTTAAACTGCAAAGGGAATTTTGTGGATCAGATAAAAGAGATGTGTAAAATAAACTCTCGTGTTCTAGGCTTGATTGACTGGCATAATAACAATAGCATGAATTTTGGAGGAAAGATCAGCTTAACCTTTCATGAGTTGAGTGAAACAGCAGGATGTCTAGAGAGAAGGTGCAGATGGCTGTGATCTGATGGCAGCTAAGTGTGGCTGAAGGGATGTGATCCCCAAAGAAAAAGGGTAATAGCAGAAGCGAGAACCTCCTCTAGGTTGCTCAAACTAACAAGAGCAGATTTCTTCCCTCACCAAAACACTGACAGCCTTGCAGGCAGGAACACGAAGCTGCTCCCCCCTCTCTCTCCTCCATCCAACACTGGCTACACAGCAGAGCACGAGCGCTGCCACCAACAAGGACCCAAATGCAAGTGAAGGGATTTGAGTTTCCTGAAATCACTTTACAGTATATAAGGGAAAAGAGTTACAGGGCTTTTTTTCCTTCAGAATTCAGGGAGAACTCTTCTCCCCAAATGCACTGCACAAAAATCTCTGTAAAACTGCAAAGAATTCTCTCCCCGGCAGAGGTCAGCAAAGGCTCAAATTTAAATCAAACCTTTTCATGACTTTTCACAAAAACGACCCTTTCAAGTATTCTGAATCGAACAGCAGTTATCCTTTGTTTAAGACTACCCCCTATCCCCTCCAAGTTTTTCATTTAAGAAACTCGGGTTTACATAAAAAAATAAAATTGAACAGGTACATACATACATGTATATATAGGCATGGAATATGAATTAATGTATTTTCACAGCAAATCCTAATAATCAAAGGTTTTCTGCAGTATCTGCTTTTCACTATATGAGATCATTTGAATGATTCATCATCAAGTATCCAGCTTCTGTGTGAATCAGCACACGACAGAAGAAAGGGAAAATTTATTCATTTTAGAAACATCAAGACAAAACTAACATTTGCACAAACTCAGGTGGCAAGAGAATTGCAGGTTTATGATCCTTAGGATTCTGCTTTTTTCTGGTTGTTTTTTTTTTTTTTTTATCTCATTGCAATCTTTTTATAAGAAGTGGAAATCATTTAAATTCTGTTCTCCAAAGAGCTAGATTAGAATTATAAAAATAAACAAACAAGAGTCTGTGATTAAAACAAAAACAAACAAAAAAACCAAACAACAACAACAACAACACAACCCCAAATTGCTCCTGTACGTATTTTACATACCTACACAAATGCAAAAGAATAGCACAGTACAAGCTTCTTTGGGTTCCTGGCTGGAGGTGCGCTGCAGACTTTATAATCTCCAAATACTTTTGTACAGTCACACGCCACATAAACCTGTCTTGCTACAGAATACCCACACAGCACAGTTAAGGAGTTTTGTCTACACACACATGCGCAGGAAACAGCAATAGCTTCTCAATTTAAAAGGAACGGTGCAATAGGAAGCAATTCAACTGAGTCCCTTCCTGGTCACCAAGCAGCAGGCAAACACCCAGCCAGAAATGAGTCCTGATTACAGATAAGCAACAATGCCAATTTTCTGGAACTGTTTTTATTCTCAAAAGCTATTATTCTGTCATGATTCAGACCTAACCTGAATAACCCATGTGTATTAAATCTCCAACTATGCGGAAAATTAACTGTCAGAAGAAAGAACTATTTATTAGAACACTACTTTTGTATGAGAAGATTTGCTCACATCAAAAAAGCTGTCACATCAAATACGGTATTTGCCATTGAGCTCTTCATAATTTGGAAGGAAGCGCCATTTGCAGGAATTTCACAAGGCAATTAACTTTCATTAATCCTTGGATGGAATTGAGGCAGCAAGTCCTAAAAACAGAGAGCGGGCCCCCTAGAGCGAGCAATGAAACATCAGCAGGAATCACTGCTAAGAATGGATACAGCATTTACTCCCTTCAAACATTTCCTACTGAAAGACATTTTTTATCAGACATCTGAGCTACCGGGCTGAGACCCAGCTGAAATTTATCACAGCAATAAAGCAGCTGCTCAACTGAACCAGTGAGAGCAGTGGCTCTCAGCAGCACTGGCACGCTCCCTGCACATTGTCTGCTCCCTCTGTGCTGCGGATGGTTTTCTGTCTGCAGGTCTCTTCCAACCCACTCTAAGTCCCAGCAAACCAACTCTCACAGTGTCAGGGTCACAGTAATGCAGGTGCAGCCCACTGGCCTCCCTCTGTTTGGAAGAGGGGAAAAAGAAGAGCCAGAAGCTCCTGCTCCTCCCCAGCCCTGCTTACGATGAAAGTGTTCTTTGAGGTAGATCCATGAGGTCCTGGCTCGTTTGCTGCTCGCAGCAAAAGTGACAACATAATGTAATCACGAAAGCAAAGCACCTCTACCATGATAATCACAGGCTCTGTGCTTTCATTCCTTTGTTCCTTCTCCACCCCTACCCTTTTTTCTCTTTCTTTTGTACTTAAAAACTCTTCATAAGATATTATTACCAAGAGCAATGCAGACAGGTATCCCATATTTCAGACTGGCAACTCATGCACAACACTGATGCAAATCAGCTCTTGTGCATTTCTTGCACTACACATTCTTTTCTCAGGTCTGTAAATTTTAAAAGCATTACAGTGTAAAAAATAAAAAAAAAAGGAAATATTTACTTTGTTCTTTACAAGGGGAAAAAAAAAGGAAGTAAATATTGTGTAATATAAAATACTGACTGCAACAGAGCAACTTCTTAGCACTCAGCAAATCCGATTGCACTGTAAAATGTATCAGTATAATATAAATACTGTGTGTGTTTCTAAGCAATTTCCAACCAGTCAGAAGCACCTAAAAAGCCCTGCTTGCTCACCTTGCAATATTTCCACTGATTCCACCCCAATCTGCAGCGACATGAGGATAAGCACACTGTAAAGTGGGCTGAAGACTAGGATCTTCTGGAGTCTGGTAACAATTGCAATTCAAAAAATCAGGATGTCCCCAAAAAACTTTAGACAGAATTACAGTTCATTTTTTTCTTTGATGAGAAGACATACACTTAAAATATCTTAAGCAACATTTTTTGGCAGGAGTGGAGAGTTACTGGCATGACATGGACTATGTTTTTCTTAAAGTAACACAGAGCAAGCTTATAAATATCTTACTGAAAGTGCCCATTGAAAATGGCCACACAAAGTGCCTTGGACCTTTATCATAACAAGCACACGGTGTCAATAGAAAGTTCCTGTTCACAGAGCACAATCACAGTCCATATAATACTACAGAATCACGGATCAATCCATCAGAACAAACACAGCCTTTGGCTATAATTATTGCCAAAATCATTTTTCTGAGTAGGGATAAAGAGGTGTTTGTATAGCAGCAGCAGGTCATAAATAGACAGCATGTGTCCTTGGCAGATCCACATTATGCTCTGCTCACAAGAGCCTGCAGAACATCAGCTGACAGAGTGAGAGGCCAAAATGGGCTATTCTGACACACTATTTCCCTCTGTTCTCTGTGAACCTGACTGCACACTGCTCTTTACAGCTCTTTCACACCTGATCCCCTTTATATTCTCAAAAAAAAAAAAAAAAGGTCAAAACCTTTATACCTTTGAGTTCCTTCTGTGAGATTTATCAGTCAGAGTTTGGGCTTGAAGCACAAGGGTCCTTTTGTACAAGAGACACCTTACTTGTGGCAGGTATCCTCAGACAATCATGCCACTGTACCTTTTAATTAAGCTACTCAGTCCTTGGAGTTTTCCCATCACAGAAGGCAGTGGTGGAACTAAACTGGCAGGGGGGCTCCCCTCCCTAAATCCTCCACCCAAGAAAGCCCAGAGCAGCAGTGCATCACCTGCACAGCTGGGCCCACCTACCAGCACAGCATTTCTTTTTCTTGGAACACATCCCTTCAAAAATTATTTAGGCACACCAATTCTACTGCCATCCCCTGCAGCACCGGTTACAGGAAGAGGCACAAAGCAAACAAGTTGATTCCACTGTAATTGTGGCAGAACAGGAGGGTTTCCCAGCAACTGGTCTGTGTGGTACGGGCTCCTGGAGGCCTCCCAGAGCTGGCACCAGCTGAGCTTTGCTGCACACATGCCTGCACAGTAACCACAGCAGTCACAGGAATAGCAGCAGGCATCCCTCTGGGGCTCAGAACAAATGCTCGTTAAAATAAAAGTAATGTTGTTAGAGCAAGGCTGTTTCACAGATTCCTACCTACAGGCAAAAGGTCTGCCTACTCAGTGTGACACTGTACCTTATTCTTACCTGACTTTAAACACACTGCAGCCACACTTAGTGGTGATTTAAAAAAAAAAATCTGAATCTGCTTCCTACAGGATCAAAGTATTTTGAAGTATAAAATATGTATGCGCATGCACACACACACATACATCACTTACACACAGATACACGTACATATTTAAATGAGATACAAAAGTTTTACACAGTTAAATACAACCTGCACTGCCTAACAAAATGAAGGACAGAGTGGTACAAGCTGTCTAGCTCAAGATAAGTGTAAAAAAGTTTAATACAAGATTGGGCAGGTCCATCTGGAACAGCCTATATCCCTATGCAAGATCACAGTGTTGTGACTCTCTAAGGACATTAAAATAAATGGCTTGAATATGGATGCAGGTAGTC